TTAGAAATGACTAAAACTTATCTGGTGGCTTTCCATGCGTAGACGTACACTAGAGCACTATACGGTATGTTGCGGTGAATGTAGTTCATATACACTGACTTTGTCACGCTCATTCCATTCCATCAATGTGCCTGTTGGCTACATTATGTGTAGACCTGAAACATGAATGTAATGAGGTGTGTTGTGTAAGTGGTGAATCTGAGGTAATGATGAAAGTATTTTCTTATCTTGTAACTGAGTGATCACAGCCCACCTATTAACTCAAGTTCTACTATAGCACCTGTAAGGAGGAGAGTGCCAGCTGAATACACCCATGAACCTTTAATCTCCTTTGGTCCATAAATCACATTTCAGCCATGCATCCCTGTCCAACGCCCTCTGATAAATAAAAAAGTGCAGTTTAAGTCTCGAACATTCTTATCTTTGTAACAGCTGCTCCCCTCCTTGCTGATGGCCATCTTGTTGGCTGACTTTTACCATCCCTCCCTTTGTTAAATAACAGTGGTGTAGATATTGAATTAACTTTAGATATGACTAAAACTTATCTGGTGGCTTTCCATGCGTAGACGTACACTAGAGCACTATACGGTATGTTGCGGTGAATGTAGTTCATATACACCGACTTTGTCACGCTCATTCCATTCCATCAATGTGCCTGTTGGCTACATTATGTGTAGACCTGAAACATGAATGTAATGAGGTGTGTTGTGTAAGTGGTGAATCTGAGGTAATGATGAAATGACTGGAAATGAACCTGTGGGGAAATCCCTGGCATGGCTGAGGATTAAAATAATTAATGAATAAAAATGGAACAACCCAGAAAACATCACACAACACAGGGAGAGTATTGTGTGTGGGAAAGTTACAAATAACTGCCTTTAGTACTCTGCATCCTTATCTTGATCGTGTATCCAGATTTTTTGTTTAACCTTGCTGCACAGAGCCCTCTTGATAAAATAAAATAAATATAATTTTTTAAATTATTATTATTATTCATTAGCTTCAAATTAGGTGTTCATCACCAGTTCATTTAAATAATGTATTTTTTATTCATTAATTTATTTATTATGACATACATAATAGATGTCTGTATATCATAGTGCAAATTATTTTCCATGTAGTCATTTGTGTTGTCCTACACAATGCTGTCACCTATTGGTGAACAAATGAAAGTTAATTTCAAGCTTGAAATTGTTTTAGCAATATGAGCAAGCATTTCAAGTCTTAATTTATTTTTATTAACTCATCTGCGGCTGAGGATTAAAATAATTAATGAATAAAAATGGAACAACCCAGAAAACATCACACAACACAGGGAGAGTATTGTGTGTGGGAAAGTTACAAATAACTGCCTTTAGTACTCTGCATCCTTATCTTGATCGTGTATCCAGATTTTTTGTTTAACCTTGCTGCACAGAGCCCTCTTGATAAAATAAAATAAATATATTTTTTTTAATTATTATTATTATTCATTAGCTTCAAATTAGGTGTTCATCACCAGTTCATTTAAATAATGTATTTTTTATTCATTAATTTATTTATTATGACATACATAATAGATGTCTGTATATCATATCCATGTAGTCATTTGTGTTGTCGTACACAATGCTGTCACCTATTGGTGAACAAATGAAAGTTAATTTCAAGCTTGAAATTGTTTTAGCAATATGAGCAAGCATTTCAAGTCTTAATTTATTTTTATTAACTCATCTGCATCCGCCTGAATACATTAATTTACACATTTAATAGCAAACATTTAAATCCTGTTAAATAAAAAAATGTGTTCATAGGTATAATTACAAAAAAGTGTAGAATAGTACAAACTGTGCTTCTGAATCACATTTATGCACATACAACATACAACATTCGAAAGAATAATTAAATCTTCAGAAACAATACAGATTCTGATAACGCACTTTCATAACATGCTTCTTTCCTACATCTGTCTTCTCATTGAGAACACTAAATATAGACACTCCACTGGCTCAACATCCACAGTAACATTATTCTACTTACGTCACCCATCATATCAAAGAATAAAATCAAGAACTTCTCAGTACACATGTTTGGCCTAAGCCTATAAATTTACAGTAGATGTTTTCATTAGTTGTGCATTACCAGAAGAATATGCGTGTTAATGAATCATAGTCCATAACAGCATCTACTACTTGCCGTTTTCTTGTCAAAGGCAAATTATCTCACAAATTTAGTCTGCCATTCTCTCTTGACAACAGTGGCACATAAATAAAAATACACCTATTGCACTTCCAAATCAGAGTTCCTGTATTGGCTGAAGTAAAAATAGAAATCCAACATTGATCACTGTACTACCCTGATGTAACCGGCTCGTCTTGAGTAACTTGTTAGACGTGAGCTCTGGCTCTGTGGATGTCTGGTACTAATTGTGGCAGTGGCACCCAGCGGCATAGAATAGACTGTGCTCAAATTCTGCAGTCCAACCACCAGACACTTCCAGCTGTAACGGAGAGCTGTCCCGATATTCTGTAAAAAAAAAAAATGTGGATAAACAAAGATGAATGAATATGAGGTAACACTTTATTTATTGTCCACTTTAGACATTCTAAGTAAATTTGCACTACATGCCAACTACCAATCATTTGAGTGTTAATAGACGGTCTGCTTATATCTACTAAAACTCTGAGTTAGCTGACATGTAGTTGCAAAGTTACTCACAGTTAATAAAATGTCTGAAGTGGACTATCAAGCGTAACCGAAAATGACTATCAACATAATACAGTTGTATTAACAATATGCAGAGTTCCCCATGTATAATAACTCTGGTACTTCTACTGTACTGATGATGAAGCAGATTGTTTTTAAAGGTTTATTATTATTAAAAAATAACCTATGGTTAAAATAGATTATTTTAATAAATTTTAATAATTATCCGTGGTAATGTGATAACGTTTTACGAAGTCTGACACGATAGTTTCTGGTTAGATTATTTCATTTTATGTTTTGATGTGGAATACATCTTGTTGCATTATGAATAAATATTGCTAAAGTCACAATGTTAATTCTCATTTTTTTTAAATAAGTACATACATTTTTGTTTTATTACAAACATCAGTGGAAATAACACATTTTGACCACAAGACATCAAATATTTTATATGCAAACTACATATTTATTTGCAAATGCACAAATAAATTATATGCATTGTGACATAAAAAGTTGCTATTTGTTTTGTAACTTGAAAAATACTTTTTGTTTTGATTTGTTTTGTAGTTTTAAATGGGTAACTTTGTACCCCACTGTTAGGATGATTCTGAATATTACGCAACATTCTTATGTAGTAACTATATGAAAGTTACTTTACGTGTTTAACATATCAGCTTGAACTCCTATATACACTGTGCCTTAATTAACATATTGATTAGATCTGTGAATCAGGTTTTATGACATGCATTTATTATTTTTTTATTATTTATTATTTTCTTGTGTTATCCTTGTGTTCTCACATTGGATATGTCCATCCTGAACGTTGAATGGCAAGTCAGAGTTGTCACTTTGTGGTCTTTTGACTGATTGGAGGGGGGGGGGGTATGTTATAAAGGCTCAGCTGGGTGGGAGTATTTAAGAGAAGCTGGTGAAAAACAGTAAAAAAAAAAAAAAAGTAAAGATGGACACAAAGTTGTGTCTATTACTCATCCTTGGTTGTGTCTATTACCATCTTTTGGCAGGTAAGATTTTATAACCGTCTTTTTAATTTTGTACTATACATTTGTACTTTAGCTTGGTACTATCTGCGTCTACCACTATTTTTTCTTATTTCTCCTACCAATTCACCTATTTTTCTCATTTTCATCCTATTGTATTATTATTAATAGGTCTTTGTCTGTTTCTCATATACCTTGAATGGAAATCTAGAGGATGTTCACTGTTCTTACATTTAATTTTGATCTTTTTTTCTGTACTCCTTTCCTAAAGAATTATCAAGTAATCATTTATTCAGATTTGTTGTGTTTTGTCAAATATAACATGTATTCAATTAAGCCATTTTTTCTATGCCTGTGTAGAAGCAAACACTGAGGTAGTTGAGGAAGACAGTGCATGGAGAAGGACAGCCACCTACTGTATATGCCCATGTATGCGACCAATACATAACATGTTGATTCTCATCTAATTAACCTCAGGTTAGTTAGTTGTGACATACGTTAATCTATCTGCAACCAATCAGGTTGAGCTTCTTTAGTCTGGCCTTCTGTGCTACTATCGACAGCAGAAGATAGCAGCACTGAACCGTGTGTATGTGTCGAGAGTATTGAATCAGAGAGGTGCCACTCTGTCAACAAATGGTCCAAAGGTCTCCAGTTCATCTGACTCTGAAATACTGCAGAAAACATGATAAATTCTAAACATGTGAAACCAGATAATTGTGTTAACAAAAGTAACAAAGTTCTTGTTATTTTTATCACTGACATTATAGTAACTCTTACATAGAAGTGTCTGCAAGGTTCAAGAACCTCAGAAAATATGTTTATCAGTATACAGCCGAGAGCAAAAATGGGGTGACGGGTACAGCAAACCTCAGGAATGGGCCAAAGATCTCCTGTCAGGTACAAAAGAAATTCTTAAAACAGCATAACCTATTTTTATATAAGAATCTTTGGGGTCTGTAATGTTTTTCTAAGAAGTCTCTTGTTTTCTCAAATCTGCATTTATTTAATCAAAAATACAGTGAACCATGAGATAATTGGAGATGGAAACTTTGATGGATTTATCAGGATAAGTTCTCTCTATGCCAACTCCACCCTCAGCCAATCGTATATATACAATATGCTCAAAAGAGAAGGAAAAGGAGAATCCACATTGAAGTTTGACACCTCAATCATCCAGTGTCAGAATGTTATCAAAGGGTCATATGTCAATGGAGAGCTGTCGCTTTTGTCCAAAAAAATGCGCAAAATGACATTCTGAAGCATGTGGCAGAGTTAAAGCACAATAAAGGCCAGCTGTGTGTGAAGTCAGATGGTAGTATGACGGCACTTGGAAAAGCTCTGCACTGTAAAGCTGAATTTGATGTCACGAGTAAAGAAGCCAGGCTGACAGTTGAAACCCAGGCGGATGATGCAACACATCGTGCATACTCCCTTCTTACTGGATCCCTAAACAGTAATGGCCTTGAGATGAACATAGAAGGTTTACTGAATTTCGAAGATGGATGTGGGACTCACAAAGGCACACTTACTTTTGGAGCAGATGGCTTGGCCACCAGTTGCATGACAACTGTTGAGGGAAGCTCTTTGACTTTTGAGAATACCATCAATGCTGGTATTGATGGTGATGGAGCCTCTATGTCTGTTGTATCAAAAGGATCAGCACAGGATAACACAATTGAGCTCAGTGCAGAGGGTATAAGATTTCACCCAAAGAAGCGTATCTAACAAGTGTTTTTAAAGGGAATGCCTTTGATGGAACTGCTAGAAACACCATGAACTTTGGTATTAATAAGTAAGGACTGAGTCTGTCTAATACCATGATGGGTACTTTACAGAAAATGAGATCAGAGGACACTCATACCCTGACTGTAACGTTATGGACCTTGGCTTTTCTCTCCAAAACGGACAATTTCATCTGCGATGGAGCATCCTACAACCACAACATTAAGGTTAACATGAGGCCATTTGTCACATCGTTAAGTGCAAAAAGCAATCTTGAGATGTTTGATTTTGGACTCAGTGGTGATGGCCACCTTAAGATGGAGCCATTTAAGATGGTTGTAGCTGGAAGCCTCAGTGGAAAGTATGGGGAGGAGGATAACATTAAGCACACCTGTCAATTTTCTTAAGCAGATCTGGCTGGTACCATCAAGTGTGATACAACATCAAAAGTTTTCGATTCCCATATAAGTAACAACTTTGACCTGGATTTTGCATGACTGTCTTCTGTTATGAACAGCAAGACACAAGTAAATTGCGAATCTTTATGTCTTGAAAATAACATTCGCACAATGGCCATGCCATTCAGCCTTACAATCGATGCCATTTTAAACAGTGATGGCACTGTGAATTTTTATGGAAAACACACTGGTCAGCTCTACAGTAAGTTCCTTTTCAAAGCTGAGCCATTGGCCATTGCTAAGTCCCATGAATACAGAGCTTCTGCTGTACACATTTTGCCAAACGGAGAGTCAGCTGAAACGCACATTGAAAACAAGTTTGACAGCTTGCTGATACCTAATGAACTGTCTGTGGTGTAGGCGTTTAAGTCGAAGCTAAATAATCACGTGTACAACCAAGATGTCAATATTTATAACAAAGAAAATGAGATGGGGGTCCAGCTCTCTGGAGTGCTTCAAACTAATCTTTTGAACACAGAAACAAAATCTGTCACGATTTCGGTGGGGTCTACTTGGGCTTTGTTATCATGGAGCACATGGCCTTTTGTTTTGACGGCTTGCCATGTGCTCTGCTGTCACCCTGGTGTTCACCCCGCCCCTCTCGTTATCCCTGTTAGCTAATTCTCCCTTCTCACCTGCACCTCGTTTTGTCCTCATTATTCTTCCCTTTATCTGGCCCTCTTGAATGCTATCTTGTGTCAGTCCGTAACATGTTGTGCAGCAGCTTAGATCGTCTCTGTCCATGCTGTGTTTGTCTGACTCGTTTTTTTATTTTATTTTTTCTAGTCTAGTCACATTTTGCCAAACGGAGAGTCAGCTGAAACGCACATTGAAAACAAGTTTGACAGCTTGCTGATACCTAATGAACTGTCTGTGGTGTAGGCGTTTAAGTCGAAGCTAAATAATCACGTGTACAACCAAGATGTCAATATTCACAACAAAGAAAATGAGATGGGGGTCCAGCTCTCTGGAGTGCTTCAACCTAATCCTTTGAACACAGAAACAAAATCTAGTGATATTCCATTAGACAATCAAAAGTTTAGTGCTTCAGTATTTGTCAAGTATGAAAAGAACAGTGACTGTCACATTATTTATTTTCCATTAATTGAAAGCTTCCCTGCTGCCTTTGAAAGAATGAAAAATGCAATTCTGCATAAATTTGAATCTCTCCAAAACTACCTCAGCAGTTTAAATATCAATGGTTTGATAGGTAATTTTAGGCACAAGTTGGATGAACTCCCTCAAAAAGTGAATGACATCATAGTGGACATGGACCTAGAGAACAAAGTTAACATTGTCAAGGACCAGCTGATTTCCCTCATACATGACTACACTATATCAATAGATGACCTTGATGCATATGCTGAGAAATTTAAGGAGTCTTCAAAAAAGAATATTATTGATTTAGCAACAAGCATTAGGGATCTGATGATTCAATTCAAAGATGGCATTGAGAGTGGATCGTGGGCCAATTCTGTCTCTGACATTTTGTTGCAGATTGGAGATGAACTCAATAATTTTGATGAGAAGTATGAAATAACCAAAACAATCATTAGAGGCATTGATGGTATTGAAGATATAATAAGACAGATCTCTAAAATTCTCTTGCCCCTGAAGCTGACTGGAAAAATTGATCTCCAAGATGACTTTGGATTTACTTTGAACTCCAATAAACAAAATACTTTTTGGGTAGGTCTGACTCGCTTCAATCAGTACAAATACAGACACAACTTTACTTCGGATAACAGTGAAAATGAAGCTGGAATCTATGCTTTTGTTGATGGTGAAGCCAATCTTGATTTCTTGACCGTTCCACTCAGTATCCCAGAAATTACAATCCTATATCTATATATGAAAACACCCAAAATCAAAGAGTTTTCTCTTTGGGAAGATTATGGTTTAAAATATCTTCTGACCACTTCTCAACAATTATTTGACATTGATTTCAAGCTCTTGTATCAGAAAAACCCAGACAAACACACATTTGACCTAAACCTTGACCCATTCTACGAAGCCTTCACTGAAAATGCCAAGATCTTGAGTTTGCATTTTGAACTTGGACGAGACCACATTTTGGATTCCCTCACCAATTCCTACAATGAAGCCAGAATTCAATATGAAAAGTACAAAATTGACACATCAAATCAGCCGCCATGATATTTCACTGTTCCTGGATACAAAATACCTATACTAAACACCGAGGTTTCAGCCTTCCGAGCCGAACTGCCCGCATTCAGTTATTTCATACCCAAGGAGGTAAGCACACCCAGCTTTAAAGTTCCTTTGATGGGGTTTTCAGTGCCATCATACACCCTTGTGCTTCCATCTTTGGAGCTACCAGTCTTGCATGTCCCTGAGACCCTTCGAGCATTGACCCTACCCACATTTACAATACCAGAAATTCAGAATAACATAATGATACCTGCATTTGGAAATATGACATATGATTTCTCCATCAAATCTCCTGTAATAACTCTGAATGCCAATGGTGGCCTGTATAATCAGTCTGATGTTGTGATAAAGTTTGATGTCTCGTCAACATCTGTGTTCGATGTCTTCAAAGATAAACTTGATGGCAGTACCACCATCAATAAAAGGAGAGGTCTGAAGATGGCCACAAGTCTGTCCTTGGTACATATGAGTGCTGAATGTAGTCATGAAATCACTGTGAGCCTCACCAAGAGGAATATGGAAGCTTCCTTAACAAACTTAGCTAAAGTTAAGCTCCCAGTTTTTACGTTGGACCTAAATCAAGTGCTTTGTGGTAATACTAAGTCTAAACCAAATATAGCCTCTAACATCAAAGTTAGCTACACTTATAATTTACCCATAATCGAGATGCAAGGCACTGGAAGCATTGATCACAATTTTGCTTTCGAGGCACTGTCATCTTATTTCTCTTTGGAGAGCACTTGGAAAGGAACAACAGATGCAACCATCACAGAAAGTGCAAATCTTGCTGGATCTTTGGATAATGAAGCAACTATTTATTTGAACACCAATGGTCTTCGTTCCACACTGAAAACTGATCTAGCCTCTAAGGCAGGGTTCCTCAAATCTTGCCCTGGAGGGCCAATGCGCTGCAGAGTTTAGCTCCAACCCTGATCAAACTCACCTACCTGTGATTTTCGCATGATCCTGAAGACATTGATTAGCTTGCTCAGGTGTGTTTGATTATGGTTAGAGCTAAACTCTGCAGGAAAGTGGATCTCGTGGGCCAGATTTGAGGATCCTCTAAGGTCTACCACCAAAAGATTGGTTCCTGGAATATGGACATTACTAAGAACCTTGCTCTCGAGGCTTCTCTGTGGCGTGTTTATGCTACAATGAGTTACACAAGCACCAATGCAGCTAGTATTGCATAATGGCCAAACATGGCATAAACCTTTTATCTAAAATTCTTCATTAGAAACACTTTTTTGTCTCTAATTTTCTTCTGTCCATTATAGTGTTTCCTCAAACAGTGTTTTATGAATTTTGTATGTAATTTTAGTATTTAATTTAATTTAATTGTAGCAAATTAAAGTATAAATAATATACTTATGTAATGAAGGTCTGCCTTGGTGAACAATGTTTTGAGAATGTAATTAAGCTAATATGATTTTGGAAAATGTTGTATTTAAAGAAATGTATGAATTACAAAAGCTGCAAGAAGGACATAAATTGGAGTAAAAGCAGTGTAGGATGTGTTAACATAATCAGAGGACTTGAGTGATTGTGCATGCTTTTTAGTGAAATGTTGAAAGAATAACATTCCTCAGGTCATCCGATTGTGGGTTGTTGTTGCTGCAACAGATACAACAGATTACAAATTCTTAGAAATGTCCTTTATAGTTCTACAACATTATTAATATTACACCATTGGATTTGTGATAGTGTTTACAGCTTTTGGACAAAAGAGGGCGATGTCTTCATGACAACAAACGACTGCACGGCTGTGGATTTCACTTCTCGCACCTCATAAGACAATAAATGGGTAACCAGCCATGCCATTTCACTCCACTCAGTGCATGGTCACACCAGTCTAATATAGTAGGTTGCATTCCCACCATATACTGCCCTTGGTTACCTGGTGGGGAACAGTTCCCTCCTGCCGTTATTTCATATAACCTCATCAAAAGAGCCCCAAAACAAATGTTGCTAAGCAGAGAGACTGCCACCTGTTTGGAATCTGGGCCTGTGCTGTGTCCAAGTGCGTGCTGCTTTTCCCACAGCAGTCTTTTCAGACAAGGTCAGAGGTCATCAGCACCAGAGTGGGAGTGTGAAGGATAGGATGTAGGCCTCATCTGTTTTTTTCTTTTCTTTTTGGTACCTGGATGCAGTATGTAATTTTTTTTCTTCCAAATTGACAGGCACAAATCCATAGACTCACTTTAAACTAAGCATTGCATGAGTGTATGGTGACATTTAGACCCAACGAATGTCTTATCGCTCATCATTCATCAACACCTGTACTGTTTCTAAGGAACTTCCTGTCAATATTTTGACAACAGCTTTGTAGTATGGCACTAGATGATGTGTTCCTGAAACATTCAAATATTAATT